CTCACATGTGCACAAAGTTCACAAAATTCACGATACAGGAACTTAAAAAGGTCCTATTTTGATTTTGTCTTTCTTCTAAAGATGAAATCTATATCTAACTGTACAGTCTCCCTCTTCTCTCAAGATGAACAGATACCCTCTGTCCCATAGACTCTTCCTGATTTTCTAAACATAGTTTCACAGAGGGAGAGTAGAACAGATGCACCTGTTAACATCCAGAAAGCATCCATTTATTAAGACAGGATGAAACATTTGTCATAATTTACCCTATAAAATACATTGATGAGCAGCAGGAAGCCTCAATGTCTTTTCCAGAATTTTTAGTGAGTTTTATTTCAACTCAGGATTGATAGTGAATAATATTCAATTTTTAAAACTGAGATTAAAACTATTCTCAGAAATGGCCAAACTCTGGCTGAATTTTAACTACCATCAGTTTTGATTCCTGAGTCCTCTGAATTTAAAAGCTAACTAACATAGAAGTACCAAATCTTGGTGGTTCTTAAGACACAACTGGACAAGGTCCTAAGAAACTTGGTCTGATCTCACAGCTGACCCTGTCTGAGGAAGAGGCTGGACCAGAGACCCCTGGAGTCCCTTCCAGCTGGAACGATTCTATAATGACACCCACAATTGCCCAACACTTTCACTCCAAAAACTTTGTTTGTTTGTTATGTCTGCTCATTTGAGACATAAAATACTATTCCCATTCCCAAGGGATGATATGAATAAATGGTCGAATGATTTGGATGGATGTGGATGACTACAGAAGCTCATTCTCAAAATGCTTTCTGCACACAAAAAAAATAAAGCTAAGGACTCATAGGTTTTCATACTGAGCATAAGCTCTTTTCAAGTATGAGCAAATACTTGGAGTCTGGTTTATTATACTCAATTTGCTCCAGGTGCTACAGATAGCTTAGAATTTACTCAGAAAGAAACCACATAGAGAATCTGTGTCTTATATTCCCAGAAACTAAACCATTAGGAAATGAAGTTACACTATGAACACACGGAGAAGATGACTAATCCTCTGAGCTCGCCATGCCACATTCGTACATTGAGATACTTTGTTGATATCATAAAGCAACCAGAAGCCTATTTCCATGAATGCATACTATTTGAAAATGAGTAACTGAATTTTATCAGTAGGGACAACACCTAGCACTTTTTCTCAAGAAGAAAGACAACAAATTGTCTATGAGGGAGTTTCAAACCACATTCATGCTCCCACTGCAAGCTCCACTGTGACACAACTTATGTGCCACGCGAGGATTACGCGCTTGGGTGATCTGTACACAAGATGTCCACGACTGAAATGCTTATTTTAGATCCCAAGAGACTGCGTTATTTGGAGGTCTCAGGAGAATTGCTAGCCTTTGGAAGACTTGGTTTTGTCTCCTTTTCATTTTCTAAAATAATTTCATATATTAAAGAGTCATATTTTCAAATAGTGATTTGTTATGAACACATCAAAAAGAACAGTTGCGCTTTTATATGCCTTCTGAGCAAGAAAGTGCTTTAAAACATTTTTCGGAGGATATTAGTCACAAAAGGAATAACAGATGATTTGTAACACTGCGCATCAAAACTGCAATATCGGGCTCAAGCAAGAATCAATATTATTCATCATGATTGTGAGACAAGCCCTTCTTCTGCCCTGAATTATCTATAGCAACTGAATCATCACAAAGAGCAACCAAGGGAGAAAGATTTGGTGTTTGAGAGAGTTTAGCTGAGTTGGGTCTTCACCCAACCAGCCATTAAATGCTTTCTGTGAGATGCTGACCCCGGACCATTTCTGCTGAAACTTCAGCAACACATCTGACAATCAGATAAATTTAGTTTAGGAACTTTCAGGAATCTATCTTTAAAAATTTTGACAAAACAAATCCCTCAAATGGGCAGTGATGAGGGCTGGAACAGTAGCCACATTTTAAATTTTTTGTAATTTGTCAAAAATTGATTTGTATACTAGCTTTTCAATCTCATCCATACATTTTAATGTATGACTCAAGCCAGTGTTTTATTCTATTACATGTATCTACAGATGGTTGAGGGGAGAAAATCTAGGCATTCAAACTAGTTAATTGGTGATATTTGGAGAACTGCTGATTGATTTTTTGAATAACTCTAAAGTTAACATATTTGTTTCCCAAACGTTTGGGATCATTTTGTAGAAGCACACCAATGATCAAAAAAGTGTCTGTTGTCTCTCAAGCAATCAAATTAGTACTTAAATACACAGAAGGGATTATGCATTCATTCTGTGAAGGCATTTTAAAGATTTTTTTTCCTGTTTTAGAATTACAAGAATAAGCTAAGGAGAGGCTATTGCCTTTCTGTAAAGGAACAGGTGACTCACAAGCTGAATTTTGAGAATGAGGTTGACTGAAATAGGAAAAAAGTGAAAGTTAGGGAGTGAGGAGACGTCATAGTTTGATCTTGTGAAAAAGCTTTAAAAATCAAAGTCTGAGTTACACTGCTTTCATCTTTAGGTGCAAACTCTAAGCTCTTTCTCTTTATTACTTTTTAAAGAAGAGAAAACCAAAAACCCTGCAAGGTGGAAATATAATTTACCTTCATTAAAATTAAACTGGTAATTTCGTAATCACACAATGGGAAATTTTTATGACACAAAATGATAAATTCCCCAAGGCTACAGCAAACTTCATATGGATGCATACTAAACCACTCAAAAAGCTTTAATATGCATATGAAAAGCCAGATAAAGTAGTTTGCATTTTTATTTGAATTTACTGAGGGCCTTTTTAAACAGTTCCCACCAGGTGATCTGTCAGGTGGGATTAGCAAGACAAGAAGGGAGAGCCCTGAGTTGCATGCGTTCAGATCTGACTGACAGCCAGAGCTCAGGTAGCTCCTCAGTTTTGTGCAGGAGGCAGGAACTACAATTTGGAGAAACGTGATTATTCCTTAAATGTCTCTGGGTAATTTAAAAGCCTAAAAAATAAAAGTATTCTGATTATACGCCCCTTAGATTTGAGACCTCGTTCCCTGCCACCTGCCCGGCTGCCACGGAGGTGGGCAGTGGGACCGCCAGTGCCTGGCCAGCCGGGGTTGGAGGCAATCCCCAAAGCTGCTTAAATAGTCAGTCCCCATCTTCTTGGAGAAACAGGTATTACTCCACACAGAAGCATCCACTTGCTGGATGAGCTAGAATCTGCCTCCTGGACCAGGACTGATGCTGATGACTAAGGTTAGGTTTTCAAAAACACAAGGGAATTGCCTAATTCTGCATTTGATAGATGTTCTAATGACCTCAGTGGGAAAAGAATTACGTCTCTACCTGCTTTTGAAAATCTCACCTTAAATGTCTAAGCTAGCAAGTCCTTACTCTGTGCTGTGAAACTAGTGAAAAACACTCACTGATTTCAGTAAGCATTAAAACAAGCTCTTAAGACTTACAGCTCTGAGTAGTCTAACTGAAGTTAATGTTAGTAGGAACAGAGTTTGGAAGGATGACAGCCTTTATACTCATGTTGACTTTTGAAGGTGATCCAAGCAATCAAAACGACTAGAGACTTTTTTCCTTTTACAAGAAATTTTAAATTAAGTGTCAAACTTAGATCAAGGGTCAGACTTTATAAGACTTTCAAGTTCTCCCATAAACTATCTTATACAGATAATTTTAAACAGTGCTACTTAGTAAAAGCAGTTTTACTCGTCAAATGAAAATGAATATATAGAGTATGATTTAATTTTACAGTATCTGCAAATACTGTTATAAAGTATCATATAATTTTCAGTTGTAAGAAGGCACAAACAGCATTAACACCTCCTTGCCTGTTAGTCAAATCTCCTACTCAGAGGTGATTTGAAGGATAATCCAAAATCTCTCTCCTGGTTGTGAGGACTTGCAGGTAGCCTGGAGGGCTTGCTCCCCTCTGTGCCCTTCCCCTGCCCCTAGTATTTTCCTCTGTGCTTTTAAAAAAGCAATTAGGATTTCTTTATTTTGTGGTGTAGTTGTGAGCTCCACTCTTAAACTGGAATCAGTGGAGCAGGATGGCTTTTTAAAGAGTTTGGACATGGTTGGTCAGGGGACTGATCAGCTGTCATTCAGCTCCTGAGACAAAGCATCAGCTCCAGAGACGGCAGACGGTCCTTGGGAGAGGTTCATGGTCAGGAAAAGGACCTCAGTGTGGTTTTGAACGAGAAGCTGCTTGAAGCCTCCTTTGCCAGACAATGACACATCAACAATGATGAAGTGTTCTTAGGAATCAGAGGGGAAAAATGCTGTTCTGTACTGAATTTAGAATTTTATTCTTTTTTTTTTAATTTAAATTTTATTTTTTTAGAAAATAAACTTATCCTGTTAGAATACAAACATCAGTTGTCAGACAGCTCTTGATGAAACTGGCCTCTGTCCTCCATGCGACTAGTTCAGCCAAGGAAAGAAAGCAATCCACTAAAAGCAAAGCTTATGGGAGCCTGGGGAAGCTGGGACAGGAGTAAATTCATCCATGCAGCAACTAAGCTGCAGCAAGAAGGAACAGCTAATGAAAATAAAAGCCTGACAGAAGAGATTGAAAAAAAGAGAGCCATGAAGCCAAGCTTAGATGAGGAGAAGAGAGGAGAGGAGAGGAGAGGATTTATTCCCCAATGAGACTAATAAGGATTCTCAAAGCCTAGGGTAAACAAGAAGATGGGTGGCCTAAAGCCTGAAGAAAAAGGCAGTGACAATCACCATCAGTGACCTTGAACTCTTGACACAGCCATCAGCCTGCATTGCTAACGCACTCCTGTGGGGAATTTGCCATATAGGGCTGTCCACGGTTTCTTTTGCAGGACAATTTTCTCCAAGACATTCAAACAAGGAGATATGTGGGTAGCACAATTGAACTGTATCAAAAACATGGTGGGAATTTCATCCACTTCAATAAAAAGATATTTATTATTACCTGAAAATTACTATTCAAACATCACATGCTACACTATACCAACTATATCATAGTATACCAAATATCAAGAATGCTGAGTACCTGAATGAAAGGGAAGAGCAGTCCGACTGCGAAGTTGGAGAGCCAATTGACTGTCCCAGCTATCATGAATGCGGCCGGCCTCTGCGATTGCTGGAAAAACTCTCCAGTGAGGACAAATGGAATCCCACCTGAAACAGGGTCCAACAAGTCAGTGGTTTTAGTAAACTTCCTCTGCCAACAGCTGTTTCACTTACGGAGATGAACATGCTCCGTGCTGCACACCTCAGTGACTAGCACTGCTCTCAGCTCTCTGTGCAGGTGTACACAGGGGCTTCTGAGCCAGTAAAAAGTGATTTGTCAAAATCATACTTTAGAGAAGTGACACCTTCCCCTTTCATGCCACCACATCTCCTGTTTTACATCTTTTCAGTGATGGCAAGCAGGTAACAGAGCAGTGAATCCACACAACAGCTTCTAGAGTACCATGTGATGAGCCGTTTATTAAAAATAAGAATGATTGTTTCTACTAAAATGCTTGAAATTCTGAAAATTCAGAAATACTCCAAAATACTTTTGGACCTTAACAGCTGGAAAGATGGCTCCAAAAAGATTAAACAGTATTTTTTTATAATTATTACCCACTTTATTTCAGCAATAAAAAAGGCAAAACATCTGCTTCTCTATGAGCATACTTTTCATTGATGCATTTAATACATTCCCTTACTAGATATACTGCTGGCACTTCTGGCAAGGTCTATTCCTCCCATCGGCCAAGGACTCTGACCTCCATAATAACAAGCTCTGTTGAATACCACATTTGTCACTCATGTTTCCTTCCACTTAGGCAGTGGACTATTTTGTACAGCACTAGCATATTGCTGGCCTGACAATAACCCCCGGGGAATAGCTGTCTAGTAGCTGAAAGTCTCAATTTATGATCTTTGGCTTCTTTCATTCCAATAGGATATTTCAATAGAAATATTTCAATTTTTATAGAATAAAACATGGATTGCATTTGCTGATTGGCTACATATTTCAGTTAATGTTGCGCGTTAGACATGAATCTTGCAGAATTATTTCACCACAGTTTGGAGAACTGTAAACCTAGTAACATCAGCCAGCTCTTCAGTATTCTGGCGCTACCAATTTCTACCTCTAGGTCCTCATGTCTGCCGGTATTATCTGCCTCACCACGTAGCTTTGTAGGCGAGATCTATGTACACACATACTAGGTAAGTCCTTTCTCAGTTTTAAGCATTTTAACAAGTTAGTGTGAACAATCAAAAGCATATTAATGGACACTTCCTTTCAAAAACCTCTATAACAATCCTGACTTCCAAAATATATATAAATTAAGATACATACACCACCAAAGACTTATCCATCCACTGGATCCTATTGCATGTTTTTGCTTGATCTACGTGTTTATCTTTTGCGCTGCCCTTACTCTTGGGCAGTTGTGAATACAAGTGCTTTATGGCGACACATTGTCATGTAGCCCCTTGTGCTCAACGGCACTACACTTGAACACATGCAGCAGAAGCTGTCCTATAAGCAGTATGAGATAGGAACTTGTAAACACGTAACAGGACATGCAGATGACACACGGTATCAGATATTCCTCCATTCCAGATCTTTCAGATGCAGAGACCATGAATACGTGCATAAAGAAAGGCAACATGATGCACCAAAAGGCTACATATGTTAGTAGACATCACTCTCCATAATCAGCTAACGTGACTTTTTGTGAGAACATAGACTGCCAGTATAAATTACACCAAAAAAAGTACAGAGCAAATAAATTAATTTACTCTTACTTTATACGTAGGAAACTGAGATATGGAGAGTTTAGGCCATCCAAGCCCTAGTTTAGTGTCCTTCTACAAGCCATATGTAGTATCTGAATTCTGTGACTAAAAAAAATGACCTTTCCCAATAGCACTTTGAACATGTAGAATAAGCAGCTGAACAGGCATAACTTATCGAATTCAAGCAACATGGGGTCTATCAATCCTTGGTGGCTTCCATCTGTGACTAAAAAAAATGACCTTTCCCAATAGCACTTTGAACATGTAGAATAAGCAGCTGAACAGGCGTAACTTATCGAAATTCAAGCAACATGGGTCTATCAATCCTTGATGGCTTCCACTGCCTATTTTATCACACACTTGGGATTTGGGTTCAAATCCTAAGATATGGCAGGCAAAACAACAATCACATCTATTCTGCCAGCATCTGTTTTAGGTCTCAAATGCCATGCGAGGCAGTGGTTTGCCAGGGCACTTGCCCCTTGGAGAGAGGAATTGAAGGACTGGAAACACAGAAATCGTGTAAGATGATTTATTTATGATCATTTATTCTGTCATGCCTTTGCTGTAGGACAATCTACAGAGGTGTTGCTGTTCTGTCAGCAGAATAAAAAATGCTGTTTGAGACCCATTTGGGAAAACACACATTGTACCAGAGAGGAAAAAAGCCAGAGGCAAAAAAAAGACAAAAAAAAGTACAAAAGGACAGAAACATATCAGAAAGCATAAATGTTATGGAAATAAAAATGCATGGGCACTATCTTGGAAAAAGGTTCCTTGAAATTCAAATGTAATTTCTAGATACATATTAATCACCACAAAAACTTATTATCAGTCACATTTGCCACAAAAGCAATTCAATCTAATTTGAAAAATAATCAATTAAACTAGTGATGATAAAATACTATTTTGCAAAGTCTAAAAAAAAGAAATTAGCAGCTGCTCTGAGTTCTTTCAGATGTTCTGTAAGGAATGGGAAAGGTGGCACAGACCGACCTCCAGACTTTCTCGTGGCATAGACAAGCATCTCCACAGCATCACAAAACAGAGAAAGTCAGTTTCTGTAGAGGGATGTCTTAATTATATTGAAGCACCAAGGAGCCTGAAAAGAGAAACTGAATGAAGCCAAGCCATTGCTGTATCCTGCTATATGCCTGGAAGAGCAGACACTTGATCTTACTAGGATGCAGAGTGGGAGATGCGAATGCCTGCCAACAGCCACACCACTGTGAAGAAAACACTCCACAACTGAGTGAAGTGAAAAAGAAATTAGGGCAACCTGAAGGAAAAATGTAAAGCCTTAAGACACAAACAGTGAAGACACCTGAGATCAGCTGAACTGATAGCTCCAGGAATCCATCCCCAGCCAGTCCATCCCCAGTGTCAGAGGTGTGTTCAAGGACCCCTTTTCTCCTGGAACTTGGTTTATTTGAGAAACAAATTTGGGTGCATGGGATTGAAGGAAGCTGTAGTATGCTTTGACTAGGTAAGTTTGGATCGGGGCTGCAGTGTGCCACTACTCAGTCTGCGGATGCAGGCTTGGTGCTCCCTCCCTCTTTACAAAATCTGAGTCTGCGGATGCAGGCTTGGTGCTCCCTCACTCTTTACAAAATCCCAGGATTTTCCACCTTACTTTTTGAGTAGTTGAGTCATGACAATAGTATGGCATCTCACCAACCATTCCTTATAGAGTCAGTCTCATTGCAAGGTTCTCTACGTAATCACCAGGCTAGATGGGTCCATACTGGCCTGAGTTCAAATATAAATACTTGGAAACCACAGCCAGAAGCAATCCAACCAAACCACTGTATTTTTTGAAATAGTCTTTTTGTCATGGGTTTTGCAACTTTAACATGTGTTTGAACGTGGGTGAAATTGTTTCACAAAAAAGCTAACTGATGTTCTTTCTCATGGGGGATGAACCTTTCCCCTGGAAGGCTTTCTGCACAATTTTCAGTGAAACAGCTGTATTTGAGCTCTGATCATAAAACCAAAAATGTATATTAGGATTTCCTGTAGGAGCTTTACTTGGTTTATTTGAGAAACAAATTTGGGTGCATGGGATTGAAGGAAGCTGTAGTATGCTTTGACTAGGTAAGTTTGGATCGGGGCTGCAGTGTGCCACTACTCAGTCTGCGGATGCAGGCTTGGTGCTCCCTCACTCTTTACAAAATCCCAGGATTTTCCACCTTACTTTTTGAGTAGTTGAGTCATGACAATAGTATGGCATCTCACCAACCATTCCTTACAGAGTCAGTCTCACTGCAAGGTTCTCTACGTAAACACCAGGCTAGATGGGTCCATACTGGCCTGAGTTCAAATATAAATACTTGGAAACCACAGCCAGAAGCAATCCAACCAAACCACTGTATTTTTTGAAATAGTCTTTTTGTCATGGGTTTTGCAACTTTAACATGTGTTTGAACGTGGGTGAAATTGTTTCACAAAAAAGCTAACTGATGTTCTTTCTCATGGGGGATGAACCTGGCATTAGCATTTCCCCTGGAAGGCTTTCCACACAATTTTCAGTGAAACAGCTTTATTTGAGCTCTGATCATAAAACCAAAAATGTATATTAGGATTTCCTGTAGGAGTTTTTCAGCAAGGTAGCTTCTGAACATGAATTTAAAGAGGTAATGCATTGACCACAATAATTATGGTGATTAATTTCTAATACATGGTTCTTTTCAGCATTGCAGTGAACATAATGGAAGAAGCTCTTAACATACTGCAGTGCCATTGAAGTTTGTTATACCTGTAGCATGCTACTTCTATTGGAAATTACAAATTTCCTACTGCAGGACTTGTATATCAATGGGCTGTTTAATGAAACTAGATTAAGCCCACAGGACACAATATGACATGCAACAACACTTCTATATCTGTGTATTTTACTTATTTCCCTCCGCAATTAGTCCAGTTTACACTTAGAATCAATGTCATTTGCTGGTAAACATCCAGAATCTCAACCCAATAGTCCTTTATGCATGAACAGAATATTCTTGTATACAAGCTACAGATTTTCAAGTATATATTTAAATTTGCACAAGTATCAACATCTTTTCTTATGAAAAATTAAGTACACATATTTGTTTTGTTCAGTGAGCACTTACAAATAAACACTGCTTAGCAGACGTTACTCAATTCAGCGCAAAAATCTGAATACAGAAAACAAGAAAAAGGAAAGAAAATACTGAGATCCTCATTCTGTTTTTATCCAGTACCTAACTGGGAGTTGAACTCATGGCTATATATCTGATTTATGAAATGAAACTGTTAAAAGAATAAATGCCTAACACAAATCAGGGAGATTTATTACATTGGTAAATCTCCTCTACAGGCCTTGTGCCCTAAGAAGGCAAAGAGAAAGGAACTCACTC